TTACAATAAGAATTAAATGGTAAATGATAACCAAATTATAATAACTGATATTAAATGGTAATAAACAAAATTAACTGAAATATATTTAAAAAAAGTCCAACAAATTTAACAAAATAAAGTAAGTATTAAATGAGAAATAATAAAAAATTACAATTAAACAAAATAAAGTAAATACAAATATAATAAAAAAAATCTATCGATGTCTACGTCGCGAATGTGTTCCGCAGGGTGGTGGCTGTCAGTCTCGAGGAGGATTTCTTCGTGTCACTGGTTCTGACTCCTCGCTGTCATCATCGTCGTCGTCGTCGTCCTGAGCAGGTACATTAGGTTGATGAGGAGCTGATGTCGATGAAGCACATCCATAGAATAAGAACCCTGGAGGTGTATGACTGACTATCCCACCGGCCTGCGAAAACTGGGAAAACCCAAACATCGCTGAGTGTGAAAACTGTACATGAGGTGTCTGTGTTGCGGCCATGGGTGATGAGGCCGAACCCACCAAATATTCAGCATATGAACCCCAAGTCAGATCTACAAACATAGACCCATAATAGCCTCAAGGAGAGGTCATCTGTGACTGTGACGGTGACGGTGGCGGCGGAGGGTCATAAAACCAGGTGAAGGCGGTGACGATGGCATCTAGTAATGGAAAGGCGATGACGGCATCATAAATGGCTGCGGCATTATAAATGGCTGCGGTGGCTGCTGTGAAGGTCTTGCTGGTGCAGCTGAGGATAAACCGGAAGCACCTGCTCTCCGTCCACGAGTCGGGGGATGATGTTGCTGTGTCGGTGAACGTCTCTGTCGATGTCGTGGAAAGGTATGCCCTCGTGCATCCTCGAGAAGTAGAAACGGTTTCCCGTTACTGTTGAACCACTCATAATAATCCTCAGCATACATTAAGAAGTCAGTAAAAATGGGTTCTCTACGTGGAAGGCGTCGATGTCGATCCTCCCACAACATGACCCACTCATGATGCCTCACCAGCCAATCTGTATCTGTCTTGCCGCGTCTATCTAAGCTATGCAACTCGTCCATATTGCGAGGTGCTTCCGGAATTGGTTGAAAACAACCAAACTGCCGGAGCACGCAATCAGTGGAGTGCCACTCGATGGTCGCATAACAGATCAGAGGGACCATCGCCATCCAAACATCTGATGGACCCCTCAACTCAGGTGGAATCATCGCCCTCACATTATCAGTAGAATATGACATCCATTCAAACTAAAATAAATAATATATAATTTTTATCAAAATAATAATCTAATTATATAACTATAATCTAAAATCGATTTTTAAACATTAAAATTCATACCTGTGTGCCAGCCTTCTGATCGATTAACACCCTAATTTTTTCTAAATCATCAGGTAGCTCCTGATGATTTTTCCTATCAGTAGACCACCTATTCAAGGAAAAAAATTATTATACGCTGTATAAAATTATTAGTATACAAAATCAGTTTTATAATTACCTCAGAAGTAGTGAAAATACGAATGGGTTATTCACAACGGGACATAAAAAGGGCAATCGATACCATGCCCAAGACTGCAGCAGTAGGAGACATCCGCCGATAGCATTATGCCTGTAGTCAGTGGCTCCACACATCTCTCTGTACAACAAAGCCAAAACTGCCGAGCCCCAACTGAATGATCCGGCGAGACGAAAGTCGCTAAGATGTCGCAACCACATACAGTGAACTAGGTTGCGCGATTTGTCTGGCATCAGAAACTCTCCTATCAACTGCAATATGCATGCCCGTGCATACATCTTATCCTCATCCTCAGAGGCGTCTGCGCTCAACTCCCGAAAATTGGCATCTAACCAATTTAACGGTATCCTACCTCCGATAAAACTTTCCGGGACACGTCCTAGATTATCCCGACACAAAATAGTCCAAGAACCGGAAGTTATCCCTGATATCACATCTCCATCCACTGGAAGCCCCAAGTACATAGCAACATCCTCAAGCGTGATCGTGCACTCTCCGCACGAAAGATGAAATGTGTGGGTCTCCGGCCTCCACCGCTCTACTAAGGCAGAAATAAAGTCTGGTTCTATCTTACAGTAACCCTGATATCTACCTATGTAACCAAATCCAGCCTCTACTAAATACAGCAAGACACAACTAGGTATCACTAACTTAAGATTCATAATAAAAGGATATAATACACGATCCTTCTCCTAAAAATAAATAATTATAAAAATTAATTCTTAATCTAATAATCATGTATTAAATAAATCAACTAATTATTACTAATAATTTAAATTAAATTAAAACGTTAAAATGTTACCGTATCAGCAAAGTGTCGAGATATATGATTTCCATCCAAGCGAAATAGACAACCTTCCATTATATATCTGCAAAAGAATTATATTAGTAAAATATTAAATAAATTAAATACATAATATTAAAAATATTATAAAATATATCTTAAACAGATAGAGTATTTGAGAGAAATTGAGAGAATTTGGTGTGATGAAAGTGATTGAGGATGTGGTATTTATAGGGAGGATTGGGGTGTGAACGGGTGGGTAATTAAAGGTATAGCGCGCCCCATGTACCGCGCTATACCCCACGTGTCAGATAACCAGGTATAGCGCGGCCCCTGATCCCCGCTATACCCCTACGTGGCGTATAGCGCGGATCAGGGGCTGCGCTATACCCATGTCAGTGTATAGCGGGGCAGAGGGCGCGCTATACCCCACGTGGCGCCAAATCATATAGCACGGGGCAGGGGGCACGCTTTACTGCTACGGGTGTTAGATCGAAAAATATAATCTGACTGGTATTAGATCGATAAATATACCGATCATCGGTGATTTTTCAGAAAAAACTCCAAATTATTTGGATTATTAAATGTGTAGTTTACCCTAATATTTATTTAGTAAAATAGAGAAGTAGAATATTCCTACTTTTTATACACATCAGCCCCGCAAGACCACCATTATCAATCTATTCTCGCATAGAACCATTCTTAAGTCATAAACTGATTAAAGATTGTGTGTATCCAAAAATAATAATTTTAAAAATACCCTTTTTATTTATTATTAATTTCTTAGTATTAAGGCAGAGTGTTTATTTTAACGAGACTGATATGAATCTCTAATCTCATGCATCGAGATTGAGATTCCAATTTGCAAATAAGGATTTACCAAAAGAATAATAATTTTAATTCTCGGGGAAGACCAGAAACAGTTTTATGAGGAGAAGAAAAAAGGCAATGAAAATGAAAAGAGAGGAGAAGGCTACGGCATGATGTTTTCATGTTGCATTTTAATTCGAATTCAAACGAGTTCTGATTTGATTTAATTCGATCGAAATAATTTTTGTTTTAAAAATTTGACTCCAAATTGGATTAGGTTAATTTTTTTAAAAAAAAATTTGATTAGGTATCAGATCAATTTTAAAATTTATTCATATATTTTTAATTAAATTATTTTTTGGTATAATAAAAATAAATTATTTATTTATTTATTTAAGTTAAGTCGATTAGATTGAATACGAGTTTTAACTTAAAAATCAAATTGGATGAAATCTTTTTAAATTCATATTAAATCGGATGTGAATGAAGCGTTTTAATTTTCAGGTCGGATTAAAGTGAACTGAAAATCTAACTTAATCTGACCCTGTCCTTGTATAATGAAAACGAAAGTAAAATGGAGGCTGGCGGGTTTCCTTGTCCCGGATCAAAAAGCCTTGAGCATCATTCATTCACCTTTTCAACATAACAATGTTTTACGTGAAAGATAAACAACATACTGTTAAAACTGGGAATTTTAACCTCACAAGTTGGGACAGTACCTCTTTGTCTCTGAGTCAGCGAGTCATCGTGCACCAGTTGTTTACGGAATCAATTAAAATGAATTGTTTACGTTTGTGGCAAGAGAAGGAAGCTGGGAGAGGAGAAGTTAAACAAAGAGCATCTCAAGTGGTACACACTCTGAAAACAACCATTTAAAAAAAATCTTACCACTTGTTTCCATTATTATTTATTAACCAAAGCATGATAGCATCAGCAAAGCAGGTTAGTCAATAGCTGTTGGTGGTGTTCTTCTCCACCACTGGGCTTCCAAAAAGTTGACTTTGTATCAAGGCCCAAAGTACAGAGAATTTTCGTTTAGCTGACGTGGGGTCAATGCCCTTCGATGGCGGAATCTTCAATTCCTCCTCAATAACCCCAGAATCATTCCTGTCTTAATCTTTTTTGCTTAACAGCTCTCATCTAGGGGAGTTTTGAACAGAGACAGCCTGTTTCAACAAGCTTTTTTTTTATGAGATCTTCTCTCTTTGTTTGCTGCTCAACGTTTCCTGTTCCTGCTTCTTCAGACAGATCTTCACTTTGAGACTACTATTTCAACTTTCAATACAAAATAAGTAAATGAATAAATAAATATCCCGTTTGAGATTTGGGGTATCTTCAAGAATCTCCACGTATTACCTATCCAAACATCGTGAGTTGCTGTCTTTTGTCCTTTTTTTTCTTTCAAGGAACTGTAAATCCCTTGGATTTAATCTCCATAAACCAGATTGCTTAGCTCTGATAATATGGATTTATGGTGAAAAAGAATACCCTTTTTTTCTGTATGGTAAAACAAGAATCTTGAATCAAAAGTGCAGTATATCAGCTGACCAGCTGGGAATAATAAGTGGGAAAAGTGGGGTTCTTTTTGGTTCTTTTGTTCTCGTTTTCTGAAGTTGCTTCATGAAATATGGTTCTCCTCAAATTGGGATTTCTCCTTTTGATTGATTCTCAGTCTTATTTTCTCGGCTGCGGATTTGTATTTTTTTTTGGGGGGGGGGGAGTGGACTGATATTAGATGCTGAACAGCACACTGATTATTCCTTATCCTTTGCCTTAATATTTTGCTGTTTCAAATTTCTGAAAATTTCATGGTTCTTATGATCTTTTTCTCAAGTCTGTGTTCCTCAAGTATTTGATCTGTTTCATATTTGGTCAATCTATTGTCAACAGATTATCTAGTGAAGACCTGGAATTGATAGTAAAAGTTTCTCTTGTCGAATTTATAGTTGAACATTAGGCCATACCGAAGGGGATCTTTGTGCAATGGAGGATGCTATTTTCTCACCTGGCGCCATGATCGGCGGACCGCCGGATTCAGCCATGGACTTCGACTTCATGGATGAATTATTGTTAGATGGATGCTGGTTGGAGACAACACCGGGATCTGATTTCGCTGATCCTAGTTTATCCTTTTCAAATCATTTCTTTGATCCTTTGTTTACATGGTCGAATTCGGAGTCTAATGTCGGCGATTCGGGTGGTGGCCTCTGTCTAATACATAACCTAGGAGAGCATCAAAGATCATTGTTGTCTGGAAGTTCACATATGAATGAAGCTCAAGGGGAAAGTTTGGTCACTCCTCAATTTAGCCAATGTCACAGTCTGCATACCGATTGCACAACCGACGGTTCTGAGTCGTGTCAACGATGGTGGATTGGACCGAGAACTAATCCAGGTCCAGCAACCTCTGTTATGCAGAGGTTAATTCAATCACTTGGTTATATTAAAGCTTCTGCGAACGAAAAAGATGTCCTTGTACAACTATGGTTGCCTGTAAATAGAGGAGGTAGACGCTTTCTAACAACCAGTGAGCAACCCTTTTCACTCGATCCGAACAGCCAAAAGCTTGCAAGTTATAGGAACATATCCGTCAAATATCATTTTCCAGCAGAGGAGGATTCCAAGGACACTGCAGGATTGCCTGGTCGGGTTTTCTTGAATAAGGCACCGGAGTGGACTCCCGATGTTCGATTCTTTAAAAGCGATGAATATATGAGAGTGAATGATGCTCAACAACACGATGTCCGCGGAACATTTGCCCTTCCTGTTTTCGAACAAGGTAGTGGAACTTGCTTGGGCGTTATTGAAGTCGTGATGACAACCGAGAAAATCAAGATTCGATCTGAGCTCGAAAGTGTTTGCAAAGCATTAGAGGTCCTTTTCCTTATACCTATTTTTTTCTTATTGTTTTGTTGTGTACTTTGTTCTTGTTCAACGAACTTTATGTTAGTACCGGAAAATTGTTAATGAATATTAATTTAGCTTTACTGCAAGTGATGGTGAATGATTACTGCAATTTTCAATCTCCTTCATGTGATTAACGATAGAATTCTTAAATGAACTTTTCTTTTCCTGCTTGAAAACTCGTTGAGTTTTTAGTGCTGTCTCGTATTAAACTGTTCATTCCTTCCACACTATAGATTGCTTATTGATAGCTTTTAGTGCCGTCTTGGATGCTGTTAATTGCTTCCCGACTTTACGAAAGAAATAAATGAAAACTTCGATCTGTTTCTGTTACTTTGTTCGTAATTCTTCATTCGTAGTCGTCGTAAGCTGCTGTGATTAACTTTGTGCTTATAACTGCATTTTAGAGAATGCAGTTCAAAGTCCTGAAATTGCTCCTTATCATGTTTTTATTTGCAAGCAGGCTGTCAACCTTAGGAGTTCTATAGCTTCTAGCACTCAAAGCATGAAGGTAAGTTATCGCGTTTACGGAATACGTTTAATTGCTAAGAGTTCGGAACTTGTTCTTGCACTTACGGGTTAGATTTATGTTTTATCAGGCTTACAATAATTGCTACCAAGCCGCCTTACCCGAGATCAAAGAACTTTTAAGGTGTGCCTGTGAGACGCACAGATTACCGCTAGCTCAGGCTTGGGTTTCTTGTGTCCAACAAGGGAAAGAGGGTTGTTGGCATTCCTCCGAGAACTATGTTCATTGCGTGTCCACGGTGGATGATGCTTGCTGTGTTGCTGATCCTAATATCCGGGGTTTTCACGAGGCTTGCTCTGAGCATCACTTGTTAAAAGGTCAGGGTGTTGTCGGGAGAGCATTCATGACTAACCAGCCGTGCTTCTGGCCCGACATAACTTCCTTTAAGAAGACCGAATATCCTCTTGCTCACCATGCAATGATGTTCAAGTTGCATGCTGCTGTTGCGATACGTTTCAGATGCATTCACACCAGCAAAGCGGACTTTGTCTTGGAGTTCTTTTTACCCCCGCATTGCAGAGATCCGGAGGGACAAAGGAAGATGCTTAATTCGCTATCCTTCATTATACAACAAGTATGTTGCAGTTTACGGGTTGTGACGGATAAGGAGCTAGAGGAAGAAACCGATTTGGCAGTTAGTGAAGTTGTAGCCCCTTCGGATGGCATACCTATTAGAGAAGAGTTATCGAAAGGGCAGTACACTCACCGTTCGCAAATGTTCTCTCAAGAAAGTTCATCTTGCCTCACTAAGGTCCAACAGAGTTACGACACTGCCTTGATAATCGAAAAAGAAAAGCCAAGGGTGATGTCGGATGAAAAACTATCTGATGTGAAGCCGCATCAAGAACATATTAGCCTAAGAGAAAGTGTTGAATACGGAGATTCCGCTTTTAATGAGATAAACTTTTCGAGTAGGGCTACGGTAAAAACAGGAGAGAAGAGGCGTAGCAAGGCAGAAAAAACAATCACTTTGCAGGTTCTCCGCCAATATTTTGCCGGAAGCCTAAAAGATGCAGCAAAGGGCCTTGGTGGTAAGTGTTATTCCGTGTAGCTAAATTTATTCGGTTTATCAGCTGAATGTGTTTCAGAAAGAATTCTTATAATTTGACGACTTCTCCTGTTCTTTCTTCGATTTCAGTGTGTCCCACAACCTTGAAAAGAATCTGTAGGCAACACGGAATAAAACGCTGGCCGTCTCGAAAAATCAATAAAGTTGGACACTCCTTGCAGAAACTCCAACACGTCATCGACTCGGTACAAGGTGCCTCTGGTGCCTTTCATATTAGTAACTTCTATGCAAATTTTCCCGAGTTGGCTTCTCCAAAATTGGTAGGAAACAGTCCATTATCGACCTCACCATGGATCGATAAGCCAAAGCAAATAAGGGTACAGCCCGAGGGTGGTAATTTTGTGTCCCAAGCTGCTACTTCAAATTCACCTTCCTCCTCGTGTAGTCAGAGTTCCAGTTCGAGTCGATGCTTTTCCAGTGGAACACATCAACCTTCGAACTTTAACATGTCTGGTAATGAAGAGCTTAAAATTGGAGACAGCTCTGGGAACAGTGAGCTGAAAAGGGTGAAAAGTAATGTAGAGTTGCATGCCTTAAATCAAGAAGAACTGAAGCTGTTCCCAAGATCCCAGAGCCTTGTATCTCTTGAGGAACAGGTTAACCTTGACAGTCTTCAACTCATATCAAAGACTGCTAGTCTAATCACTCGAGATTTAGAAGCTCAAAGGGTAAAGGTAACGTATGGAGATGAGAAGATCCGGTTCCGCATGCAGAGCAAATGGTGGTTTAAAGATTTATTGCATGAAATTACAAAACGGTTTAATTTGGATGATATAACTAGATTTGATCTAAGGTACATGGATGATGATTCCGAGTGGGTGTTATTAACATGTGACGACGATTTGGAGGAGTGCATCGATGTATGCGGATCGTCGCAGGGCAACACAATTAAACTCTCATTGCAACCCTCTCGTCATCATTTGGACCAGTTTTCGGGCACCGGTCCTTGACAAAGGAGTGCATCGATGTATATGATTGCATTCTCTCTTCGGTCTCGCTTGTGCCCGTAATGTTACTTCGATGTTTCCGAGAGCAGAAACCTTAATGCTCCTTGGTGACGGTAACGCTTTTGGATGCGGTGCACTGCCGAAGGAGTTCATTGTGAATGCCATGAAAGCAATTTGTCTGTTACCACTGTGGTACCTCAGTAGCTGCCGACTGCAGACAGTTTGAAATCTTCCTTCTCAGAATGAGTTCTGCTGTATATTTTAGTGATGACAAGGGCAGCAAAAGCTGCTTTGTCAAAAGGAATAATGGTAATGTAGAAATAGTAGGAAGGGAATAATATTTTGTGTTTTATTCGTAAACGTTATGGATATATATACAAGTATAAAGGTCTTGTAATATATAAAACAATCTTACATTAATTATATAATATCATATACAAAACACAATTTATATTAACCCTAATATTTAGTATATGTATATAACACTTCCTAAAGTTGGAACATAGATATTAACTATGTCCATAGTATTATTATATAGATGATCAATCCGCGTTGAAAGTTTTTGTCAAAATATCTTCCAACTGTTCTCCATCACATAGTTAATAATGATCGAACTTTGTTAATTTTTTTCACGAATAAAAGGATAATCAATCTCAATGTATTTTGTTTGTTCATACAAAATTGGACTAGAAACAATGTGAAGCGTAGCTTGATCATCACACTATAATTTTATAGATATTGAAATCTAAATTCATACAAGCAAAAAGACTTACCCAAGAAATACAGAGTTCGGGTTCTACTAATCCTATCAGCAAGAATTTTAGAGTTAATTCCCGATTCAAATGGAAAAAGCCAGCAAGCAATTTCTGCAAAATAAACACTGATGGAACCAAAAGACAAAGCACTGGGGAAGCTACGTGTGGCGTTGTTGCAAGAGATTGTAATGGTGAATGGCGCTGGGGCTTCGGGAAAAAAATAGGAATCTGTTCTATTTTGGAAGCAGACCTATGGGGTATCCATGAAGGTTTAAGAATCGCTTGGTTAAGGGGAGAAAGAAAAGTGATTCTAGAGTCAGATAATAGAGAAGCTATCAACTTAATTAAGAACATCTCGACCGAGCACAGGAAACTTACGATTCTGCAACATATCGAAAAATTATTGAGGAGTGTCGTAACCGTCTTTCGGTTAAACCCAGAATTGGGCTTCGACTTGAAAAATGTGGATTGGGTTGAGTCGCCACCGATCATTTAAAAACAAGTTTTAGGTTGATCGGACACCATCTTATCTGATCTGTGTTTTACCAGAAACGTGTCGGGCTCAGGAGTCGGTTACGGTCAAGGAAGGACTAGCACCCTTGAACCGCCCTTTCGGTACCAATTAATTTGTCGGTTGTCTTTATTTGCGAAAATTAAAATTTAAAAGTATTCGATTCGAATTGTTTACATTTGATTGGTTTAAATGAAGACCTTTAGAAGATAGAAACGTTAGACAAAAAATAAATAAATAAATAAATGTTTAAAAAAATATATAAAATAAATAAATAATAAATCAAGAGGAAAAGAAAATAAAAAAAAATTAAATACAAATTAAATAAATAATAAGAAAAATGAAAAAAAGTCAAAGGAAAGTAAATAAAAATAGAATAAAAAAAATCAAAGAACACAAAAAAATAATAATAATTAAAAATGTTTTAAAAAAGTTAAATTTCAAAAGCAACAAAATAAAGAAAAATATGAATAAGAAAAAAAATTAAAAATAATAAAATAAAAAACGTAAAGGATCAAATTAAAACAAATTAAACTTAATGAGTTAAATTAGTAATAGAAATGAACTGCAAAATTAAAAATAAAAAGTTAGGGGGTAAACTAGAATGATTAAAATAATTTTTCATGCAAAAAAGAAGGGTCACAATGGAATAAGTCAGAACCTTGAAGGGCCAAGATAATAATTTGCTTGAAAATTCCAAAAACAATGGATTACACGTGACCTTTTTATCCAATAATAGTGAAACCAAATGCAGATTTGGTTCATTCTTCCTCTTCTTTCGGCCTTCTCGCTTCAGACCATAGCAGCGCCGTTCGTGGAGTTTTTTCAACGTCGCGCCGTCATTCATCATCAAGGTAAGTTCGCGGGCCATTCCTCATGAACCCTTCGCACCCCGTTCGCAGCCACCGTCGTTGGAGCGGGTTATCATCAAACCTGCGAGCTTCGGGCTAGCCAACCTATCTCTTACGCCACTGTGCTCGGTTATTCGTGGCCGTGGTAAGGCGTATCTTCTCCGGGAAAGCACAGTTGACTTGGATTGCGGCTGGACAACACCGGTTGGCCGTGAAACCTTCCCCGTCGATTCTGATTCAGGTATTTCCCCCTTTTTTTCGTGATTTTCCTGTGCCTAATCGTAGTCCATTTCGTGTAAACTCGGGTGTATGATTCGTGTGTTCCCGTATTTTTCAGTGTAAGTCTCTAGTGTGCAATCGTGGATTTTTTTGCTTGTGTATCTCCCCCTCTGTTCGATGTACATGATTTTATAGCCAAAGCTATCGGCTATTTTTAGAATCATATACGAACTAAAACACTTGATTTGTTTTTTGTTGGTAATGGGTCGTTGTCGTGCTCTCCTTGCGCCGGAGGATCCGAGAATGGTGGTGTGTTGCGTGAAAAGCGGAGGAGAAGCGTGCGATCGTTGGGGAGTCCTTGCTGAAGAGGAAAACAACGCTGGATGGGTTCACAGGTTCATTTACTGGGCCACTTGGTCTTGTAAATGGGCTAGGTGTAATGATTTTGGGCCCCATGTATAGGCTTGTAAAAAGAAGGAAAAAATGTAAATAATATATACATATTATATAATATATGCATTATATAATAAGGGCGAAATACGGTGTCTACAGCTGCCCCTCTTTGCTCATTATCGTGTAACGAAAATAGAGCAAAGATTAAAAGACACCAATTTCGCCCATATCGAATGTCCTTTATCGTAGAGTTGAATTCCGATATTGAAACTGGTTTGTTAATTTGGACTAAAATATGAAATGACTCCCTCGTCGTGAGGTTGAGTCTAAACTGAAAAATTCTGAGCATGAAATCCTTCATCGTGAAGTTGAAATCGAACTCAGAGAAAGTAACTCCTGGATCGTCTTCTAGCCCAAGATACTTCGTCGTGAAGGTGGAACTTGTCATGAAGACTTCGGTGTTGCTGTGTTGCAGATGACTTCTTCGTCGTGAAGTTGGGTCCATCTTAAAATGGAATTGAAGCTACAGTTCAGAATCTGAATCAGAATGTGACTTCTTATTGCCAAACTGTAGTCCACTTCGGTCTTCTTCTTGATTTAAAGACCTTAGTTTAAAGATTTGACTGGAAAGTATCTCTTTGACTCCAACATGTGATTGAAAGGCCCTCGATCTGAATGGCACATTTCGGATGATGCTTCAAGAGAAATTGTCTTGAAAGAGACAAAATTCGTTTCAAGGGAAACGATCTCAAAGATATTTGTTGTTTCATGAGAAACGGTCTCAAGGGAGACAAAATTTTGTTTTAAGAGAAACTGTCTCAATGTTTATGTTTCAAGAGAAACTGTCTCAAGGGAGACAAAATTTATTTCAAGGGAAACTGTCTCAAGAGAGACAATGGTGAGCACGATTCCCTTCATCGTGAAGTTGAAACCGTGGATGACCCATTCGTTGTGAAGTTGAGCCTTGGAATTGGATATCCTTCGACGTGAAGTTGAAATCCAATGTAAGTTGCGCTGTTCCGAGGCTAATATCCTTCGCCGTGAAGTTGAAATTGACTCTGAAACTGGGAAGTTTGTTGACAGACACTTCTTCTTTGAGTTGAATATCCTTCGTTGTGAAGTTGAGATCCAAAAGATGGATGTTGCTTGTGTGCACGATTCCCTTCGTCGTGAAGTTGAAACCGCGGGTGACCCCTTCGTCGTGAAGCTGAGTCTGGAATTGGATATCCTTTGTCGTGAAGTTGAAATCCAAGTAAGTTGTCTTGCTCTAAGTCCAATATCCTCCACTGTGAAGTTGAAACTGGATTTGGAACTGGGAAATTATTTGTTGACAGCCAGCTGCCCCTTCGCTGTGAAGTTCAGCTTGTGCTTTCTCGAATCCAATGCCTTTCGCTGTGAAGTTGAAATTGGCTCTGAAATTGGGAAATTGACAACCAGCGGTCCCTTCGTCGTGAAGTTGAACTTGCGTTATCTAGAGTCCAATATCCTTCGATGTGAAGTTGAAATTGGCGCTGAAATTGGGAAATTGACAACCAGCGGTCCCTTCGTTGTGAAGTTGAACTTGCGTTGTCTTGAGTCCAATATCATTCGCTGTGAAGTTAAAATTGGCTCTGAAATTGGGAAATTGTTTATTGACAACCAGCGGTCCCTTCGTCGTGAAGTTGAACTTGCGTTGTCTGGAGTCCAATATCTTTCGCTGTGAAGTTGAAATTGGCTCTGAAATTGGGAAGTTGTTTGTTGACAATCAGCGGTCCCTTCGTCGTGAAGTTGAAATTGCGTTGTCTGGAGTCCAATATCCTTCGTTGTGAAGTTGAAATTGGCTCTGAAATTGAGAAGTTTTTTGTTGACAACCAGCGGTCCCTTCATCGTGAAGTTGAACTTGTGTTGTCTGGAGTGGCACGATATCCTCCGTCGTGGAGTTGAAATCGCGGATGACCCTTTCGTTGTGAAGTTGAGCATTGACTTGAATATCCTTCGTCGTGAAGTTGAAATCCAAGTATTGTGAAGTTTGGCTTTGAGCTAGATATTCTCCGTCACGAAGTTGAAATCTACTCTCGAGTTGATTGTGTAGCTTTGAGTTCAATATCATTCTTTAAAGGTGCTTTTGAATCGAGTATCCTTCGTCTTGATGTCGAAACTTGACTCTAAAAGCTACAAAAATTATGTATGTGGAAAAAAATGACAAATATGATGTTCTAAAATGTATGCATAAGATGCATGTAATATGAATTGGTTATGTTTTATCTCCTGAAAGGTCTGATAATTCGCATTAGGATGTTGAATCCCCAAAGATGCCTCAATATCAAAAAATGTCCAAATATTTGATGTTGAATCTTCAAAGATGCCCCAAATGTTCCTCATTTCTTACTTCAGCCTTGATTCTGAGCATGAGTTTTGTGTTTAAGAGTCACATGTCATTTACCAAGATCTACTCTAGAGAGACTGTATTGTTTGAAAAAAAAAATTTCTTTCTCTTTTATTTTCAAAGTTATCAATTAAAAGAGTTTTGAAAGATGTTTAATCCAAAGTTTTTGAAAATATTGTCACTTTCGCGGTTTTACAATTGAG